GCATATCAAAGTGATATACTTGATCGAAAGCGTTGAGGGGCGAAATGTTTTTCCATGGTTTGTGCAGATCAGAGATGTCTCTGCATTTAACATAGGGCACAATACACGTGAGCCATTTTCCGGGTTCTCCTTGTGAGGATCGCCTGACTCGATAAAAGGAAACGTAAGAACAATTTTTGTCGGTGAGGTTTCGTGACAGATCCCAGCGTTTGGCAGACACGAATGAGCAACTGCTGCGAACCCAAAAGCATACAGTTCCTGCTCTACGGCTACATTGATTAGCTTTCACGCCTTTTCCGAATGCTTTCCTTTCCGCACTAAGATTTAAGTGTCTGTGTGTTAGCCGTTAGAAATGGAATTACCGATGTAACATTATGTCGCCGAGATGAATGGCGTCGATTGCATGGAGGAATTCCTTTCAAATGATTGAGTTAGAAATAATCATCCAGTCGTTAGCAAAGCATCATTCGTTTAAGTCATGGAGAAACGTCGAAAAACCTACTATTTATTTTTTTGTACCTTAAACGTGTGCGTTACTGTTTCATTGAGTTCTTTATGACAACTTCACTGTGGATCAACGTCGAAAAAGATTGGAGCAATTCAGAGAGTTTTGGTTTCGCACATCTATTAATAATGATGCGCGAAATCAAACCGATGTATTTCTACACATATTTTCTTGTATTCAACATTATGCACATGTCATTAAACCCAAAGTGCTTTTAAAATGTTTTCGCTGAATGTCGCAGTCATGGATTCATTTGTTACTTTGACAAGGGTAGGGTGTTTTCGGTCTGACAGAACGTTATTTTCTCTGCTACGTCATGTTCTCCGTCTTTTATCATCTATCATAGGTAGTATGGTTGTGTTAAATGGTCAGATTGACATAGAAATGTCTGTTTGCAGCTGTTTGATCGGTGAGATCCGGGTGCAGAGGTAATTGTGGCAGGAATACAAACTGATGCTTACATGGTCACCTACTAGAGCATGTTGCAATTGAATGACGGCAATATGATGTTATTTTTTATTATATTTTCTATAAATCACGTTTTAACTTTTGCTGAACCTTGCTGTAACAGTGAACAATGACCCACTAATATTAAATTCATATGCAATAAGAAACAACGTGTATATGTTACTAAATTATCTTTAAAATGGACGTTTATTTCATGCCAAGATTCAGTTCAGAATGCGAATGAGCTCTTTCGGATTGAAACGCATATCGAGTTTATTAGATACATATTCAACAACGTTTCGGTTCACATGGGACCATTCTTTAGGAACAGTCATGGCATAAAACAAATAATGTAGAAACTGATACAGCAAGGTAGCAGCTTTACTCTGGAGGTTTAGCCAGGATGTTATGAAGCACCTTCCACTATCGAAGCTATTACATCCACAGTGTACATCTTACTTGACTGAGCAGATTTATACAGCAATAATGTTTATGTTATGTCGTGTCTTTCAGTGAAGAAGGACCGAGCACAGTTAGAAATGTTCAGGATGTGTATATAATAAATTCGATATACGGTGTTATTCTGTAAAGGGTTGCTAACTATGTGACAGTTGTAAAATTCTTGTCGTTGTCGTGCAGTGAAAATGGAACAGTTCCCAAGGCTGGGGTAATACTGGCTTCTTTAAAAAATAAATTATGATAAATGAACTACTTCGAACAGCTTTTCCATATGACCGTCTAACTTCCTATTACTTCAAACTTAATCCAAAATTTCGACAATTCGATGTAATTCATTTTTTATGGATACCACTCTCATCAATTGTGTCACTGTTGGTCCAAAGCCTGGAGGACAATGGAGGACGTTGGGAATTATGACGAGGTCTCCTATAACACAGCCTCCTGTCGCTCGTGGTTTTGCAATTATTGAACATTATTCCATCTTGGTTGTCGCCCTTATTACCAAAGGCTACGCAGGCTGTTGAGGAACTGAGGCGGACTGCGAAAACTCTGCTTCTCTCCTTCTGGCAATATGACAATACCTGCGGAAGATCGATAAGAAGATAACGAAGATAGCAGCTTGCAACGGAACTGGTACTCGTTCTGAATATAGGAGACAGAGAATTCAGTGTCAGCATACCATCTCAGGTAATGGTTTCCGAGAACGATATCGTCAATGGCAGCTTGCAGTAGAAAATTGAAACACATTGCAACCGGATAGGAGTTGCTAGCGAACAGGACGCGGGATCTGGTCATAAAACCTTACTTGCGAACACAGTCTTCATATCTACACCATAATCTCACCGTTCCAACGCGGACGGGTCCTTTTATGCGACTGCGATTCTTTGTTCATCCTCAGCCAGTAATCCGCATTGAACTACCGGTGCGAGGTACGGCTTTGTCTTACGACGCGCGGAGGGCGAGCGCAGCTCCTTTTGTTCGGCCCACGTTTTCAGTCCTTTGTGAAAAGTGAGCGTTGTCTCTTTGTTCGACCCACGCTTCCGATCCTCTGTGAAAGCCAAGAGCTTGCCCTTTTGTTCGCTTCACATCTAAGACGGCGTACCGGGAGTCCGCGTCCGTTTGCCTCCGCTTCGTTGCAATCTGTCGTCGCTGACCGCTGCAATATCCTCATTCAGAGGGAAAAGTTGGAGCCAGTTGATGAGTTGACAAGTTAGCAGCTCTACATATTTGGACTCGTCAACAAAGCAACAGGGCTCTGGATTTCTGAACTTCTGTGGATGGAAGTTATTGTACTCAGATGTCGAGATCATGACGTCGACGTATGATCAGGCCGGTGTTGACACCCTGGTAGAACCCAACCAGGCTGAACTGAATGGAAGTATATCAGGAGAAGAGTGGCGATCCCCTGACTGAAGCTACAACAGGCTAAAGCATTGACCTTGTTACAGGTCTATGAGCCCACCATGAAGGAAGGATATGAGTCCTTCCTTCAAGAAGTAGTGCTGTCTGTCCGAAGTGCCGAATAAAGAGTCCCACATACTGATGGGTGATTTTAATGCGCGTGGCCGAGCAGACGCTGAAAAATGAAACGGCGTGATTGGAAAAAAACGGCCCTGCCGACCTCAACAATAGCGTTATGAACCTATGGCGGTTTTGTGCAAACAACAGACTGTCAATTATGAACACTTTCTTCGAGCATCGAAGAGTACCTCAGTATACATGGCGTAGGAAAGCTTGTGCACATATGAGGATGATTGGTTTGGTGATCGTTTGTTGTGGAATGGTATCGCCGACATTGCACAGTCATCACAGTGGAATAACAAAATAAAAATCCTTCATATTCACAATTTGACAATGACTTCGCATTGTATTTGCAAAGAGTTTTCTGTTGATTGTTGATGGGCAGTCACATCACTGATACAGACGACCAACTTCCAATGACATAAATTCACATAGTCGTGACCGCAGACTGCTAGGTGATGTACGGCATCGTTAGAAACCTATTAGTTGGACGACGGCATCATATTTCACTCACATAGAGCTACCCGTTGACACATCGGATGATGGACTGAATCACGCAATTGATGTAGCTGACCATTGCCCAGTCGTACAGATTCAATGCAGCGACAGCAGGTCTGAACAGTGACAGCATATAGCATGTAGCGGTCTGCGCCGAAACGCCATTGACCGTTTAAAAGCTTGAGATGTAGCGATACTGTCGGAATTGATGAAATCGACACGCAGATACTTCATATTTTTCGCCAACAGTGTATATTGTGTGAAATTGCTGTGATTACGGGAAAGACACCAGCGAGTCACAGAACGACGGTTTTAGACCTCTTGTTCAAGAAGGAAGACCACAGAAACTGCTCAAATTATTAGGGCTTTACCCCATTGATCCACCCGGGAAAAATCTACGCAAAAGGGTTAGAAATGAAATGTCGTGGAATAACTGACGAAGACACAAGAAGAAAATCAGTGTGTTTCATGAAAATCATGCCGTATCATCTCTGACCATATATTTGCCCTATGCCAGATTGCTGAGAAATCGTCGGAGTTCGCCCATCCCGTATACATGGCTTCTTTATTTACCTAGAAAAAGCCTATGACCCGATCCCGCGCAACAATAAATGGTTGTGCATACGAACTTACAGGATCGATGGTCAGGTGCTAAAGGCAATCCAATCACTGTGTTCCGATAGCAAATGCTGCGTCAGAGTAAATGGCGTTTAGTCGAAATCTTTCAACTTTGGCACTGGTCTCCGCTGAGGTTCCCTCCTGTCCCCTCTGTTGTTGGGGTTGCACATGGATAAAATAGTAAGGAGCAGCCAAGGCGATGAGTGTGTCGGTGTAGGAGATGTTAGGATGAGATGATTGCGTTTGCAGGCGACCTTGTTTTATTGGAATCTTCTGAAACTGATCTACAATGCTCCTTAGAAAAGCTCGCAGTCGAGTGCGACTTGGTCGGCATGCGTGTGAACGTTTCTAAGCCCATTGCTCTCGTTAGAAGCAGTTAAACAGGTGGAGAGGTTCAAGTCTACTAGGGTCGTGTTTACCAGTGATGAAAAATGAAAGAGATCGATTAGCAAATCAGAATGGACAGAGGCGCTCTTAGTGAACCTCCTGGAATTGCTATGAGTAAGACAGACCTGAATCTTAGAACGAACCTC